CCCCCCGAGCCGGAAAGCTGGGAGCAGGCCCTCCGCCGGAGCGTCCTGCAGCACAGGGCGGCCACGGCCCGCGCCCCGGCCCCCGCCGGCGGCTACAGGCAGTTCGCGCACGCGGTGGCGCAGGGCTGCGGCCCTTCCGGGGAGGCTGGGTACAAGGCCTTCTCCAGCCTGCTCCCCAGCGGTGCCCTCTGCCCAGGCACGTCTGAGGTTGAGGCCAGCAGTGGGGAGGGGTGCTACAGGCCCTTTCAGAGCATCACTTCTGGCTGCTCTGGGGTTCCCTCTTCAGTCCCCCTGTTCACCTTTGGACTGGACATGGAGCCACCTCACAGCCCTCAGAACTCACCCCTCCGCAGCAGCTCCCCAGAGTGCCCCAGTCTGGAGCCAGTGGCAAAGGGAGAGGACAGCCAGAAGCTCCCACTCTTCTTGGAGCAGGCCACAGACCCCCTCAGGGATGACCTGGGGAGTGGCATCGTCTATTCAGCCCTCACCTGCCACCTGTGTGGCCACCTGAAGCAGTGTCATGGCCAGGAGGAACGTGGCAAGGCCCACGTTGTGGCCGCCCCCTGCTGTGGCTGCTGCTGTGGAGACAGGTCCGAGTCCCCAGTGAGCCCCCTGCCACCTGTGGTTCCACTGGAGTCTAACCTCCCTCTGGCCTCCCTGGTACCCTTGGGTGTCTCAGAGGAGGGCAAGTCCTCCCCGTTCTTTCAACCTGGCCCCAGCAATGCTCAGAGCTCAAGCCAGACCCTCCAAATGGTGGCCATGCTCTCCACAGGCCCACACTCATGAGCGCCTCCTAGGTGTGTGCCCTGTCGTTGCTGTGTGTGCCTTACCCATGCCTGCGAAATGCCTCCCCTTGGAAGGCAGCCAGTCTGGCAGATTTCCCAAAGACTCCGAGAGCCCTGGTATGAAGTGAAGTGGGCTGATCCTGGGGCTACAGACTGAACTCCCCTGTTCCCAACACTGACTGGAGATCAGCACATGCCATGGGAGGGGAATGCGCTGGGGAGCTGTGCCTGCAGCAGTCAGCTGCCGGGACTGGGAGGTTCCTGGGCACCTTGGCTTATGAACGAGCCATTAGCCACTTGATCGGTCCACAGCTTCTCCAGTGTACTGTCCCTGTCGTGCCCACCCAAAGCGTGTTTTGTCCTAGTCACTTGGTTGCCCATGTCTTGCCCACTCCTGGGACTAGCTGCTGCCATGTCACTAGATTGGACACGGGGCCTAGAAACTAACCAAGCCAACGGGAGCACTGGGAGCCTTGGGAAACTGATGGGCAGTTGACGTCCTGGGAGGGTGGTTATTTGCCCACAGGGGCCCATTCGTTCCACAGAGCTTCAGTAGGTCAACACAGGAGGCAGGAGCTGGGCTTGGAGGGGTGCTTAGTCAACTGGGGGTGACAGAAACACAAGAAAAATGGTGATTACCAAGCAGTAACAGTTTGCTGGGGGCTCCTGTTAAGTATGGGGTCCCCAGAATAACACACTCAGCTACCTTGGGGTCAATCTGTGCCCCGTGGACACTGTTGCTGGCAGCCACAGAGACCAGAGGGAAAGCTTCACGCCCGAGACCAGCTGAGCTGGGCATTCCAGATGCCACACTAGGCACGTTTGCCTGCATGCTGACCCGGACCTCAGCTTGAGTAATGTTTGTGTGCGTCTCAAAGATTGTTTTAAACCTGGTGTTTGTATTTGTTGAGGAGGGTGGCATGGGAGGGGGTGAAATTTTATATAAATAAAGGTTCTTTATTTCTTTTTTTTTTACTTATAAAACAAACATACTGCCATCGTAAGTACTTTATTAACTCGTTGAATCCAGACAGGAATTTAAGTGCAGTGAGTTGATTTAGGAGGTGATCCCAGGAAACCCTGCTTGGGGAGTGAGGCAGGGAAGGGCAGGAGGCAATAAAGATTGTGTTATCAAACAGTGCCAGCGTGGGCAACTGCTGCTTAATCCCGCCTGCCAGGAGCTTCGGAAAGCCATGCACAGCGCATGCCTAGAGGTGTCCCTGCAAGGGGCCGGCAGCTGGGGTGTTCATCTACCAGCTCCCATCATCGTTAGAGGGCCACTTCCAGGGGCACTGGCAACAGCTGCTACACCTTGTCAAGGTCATGCAGCTAGTTAGTAGCAGGCCCATAGCTGAACCCAGGCAGTGTCTGTCACACAGGCTCTCTGCAGGTGACCTGTTCTGGACATCCAGGTAGGTGGCATGATGGAGTGGGCCTCAGATGGTCAGGCAGGGGATCTTAAGCTCCTATGTCTGTGATTACTTTGTGTCTCTGTCACACTTTCAAAATGAGGGGCTTGGCTGTTTGAGATTCCTTCCTGCTCTGGCATTCTACACAATGCACTAGAGGTAACGGGGAGCTCACTACCTTAATGCAGCCTGATGTTTGTTAAAAGTATCAAAGTGTCTTCTTTTTTTTTTTTTTAAATGCCTTCTTTGTGCTGAGCCCCAAACTCTCTCTTTAGCTGTGGGGTCACCCCCCACCCCCAGACACACACACACACAGTTTACAGATGGGGAACTTAGCTCTAGAGAGGAAAAGGGGCTTGCTAAGGTCAACAGTGAGTGGCAGAGCCTGAACTAGCCCTCTGGACTTTTTGACTTTGGGAGCTTTTATAACAAAACATAATTAAAAATAGCTGTTTAGTGCCAAGCTGTATGCTAAGTGCTATATATCTACTATGTCAGCTCTTGCAGGCAGGTCCAATTATCCCAGTTTTACAGATGAGGAAGCAGGCCCAGAGAGGTTGAGGTTTAGCTTAGGGCCACACAGCTAGGGATTCCTGAAGCCAGGTCTGACTGCAGAGCTCCCAGGCCCCACAGAATGCCATCTCATGCACAGCATGGCACCTATTCAAAAGTCAGCTCTAATCCACTTTGAGCATCGTCTCGGAAAATTGAATTTAAAAATTAAGCAGGGAACAGAGAAAATACATTTGTGTGAGTGGCGGAGAGGCAGTGGGCTGGACGTCCAAGAGAATGGACCTGGCCACTGTCCTCTCCTTGGGATCTTACAGGAGGCCTGAGTTGTCAGCTGAGGCTGATCTGACAGCTCTGGCTGGGCTTGAGGAAGCTGGCATGGAGAATTAGGTAGAGACGCCTCCCATCGCTTACCTGGATTTAATCCCACCCTCCCAGGCTCTGGAGAAAGGCCACCTTTTGCTCCCTCACCCCCACTCTCCAGCGTACCACAAGGAAGGAGGAAGCAGAGAGGCAGAAAAGCAGGTAGCGGGAGAGCCCAAAGCCCCCCAATATTTACTGAGCACCTACTATGCCAGGCACTGTGCTGGGTGGGGCGGGAACTGAGGAAGACACGCTGCCTCCCTCCAGGATCTTACATCTGTATTTCTGCGGCCTGAGCCCGCCCTTATAAGGGACACCCTGGAATCCTGCTTCAACCAATAGGACGGAGGCTGTCACTGTCCAATTGGAGCTGCACAGCTGCAACCAACCAGAGCGGCTCTATTCTGACCAATCAGGACGTTGCCTTGTGGACCAATCAAATTTCGAGGATTTGGAGTCCTCTTTTGCATGAGGATAGACCAATCAGGGACCAGGGGCAGGGACTTCTGTCCATATAAGCCAGGTCCCCTCTGGCTCTCAGGACACATGTTCCTTTTTCTCCGAAGGTCAGTCTTCCTGGCTGAGCGGAAGCCCTGAGGATGTCCCGCTGGAATAGAGGAGAGTGGGGTGGGAGATAAGGTCATGCATAAGGAGGGCTGGAGGGAGGAATTTATATTTTGGCTTAAATACACATTAGCCCCACCCACTGAGAAGCATGGTCCAATAGGCACCGGTCTCCCCAGTCCCCAAATGTGACCTGCCCTTAGGCAGGAGCCAGGGGGAGGAAATGGGCCCCTGGAAGGTTCCCCCAGCAGGAGCACTTGCCCAAGTGGGAGACTGAGGCTCGCTGACACCAGCGCCTGGTTCACCTCCTCATCGCTGACATTCTCACCCAGGAATAAAGTGCCTCCCACCGGGAAGGAGTTGATCTGAACAGGGGAATAGCTCTTGGAATTTCTTTGACAAAAGACTTAAAAATCCCCTTAAAAATCTGGCCCTTGCCCCCCCTCCCCCCAAGCCCTGGTCTCCAAATTAGGCACGAAATCCAAGGGCCTTTGGATCGCGAAGCCATAGGCTAGGCCCCGTCTCTGCTCTCTACGTGCCCTTTGTGCTCCCTGTGCCTTCGCCTCCTGAAGATCCTCTCCATAGCATCGTCTTCGCCATCTCTTGGGTTTACTCCGGCCTGGCTGGGGCACAGGTGGCAAGAATCAGAAGGGCCCGGCCGGGGTGGCTCAGCGGTTGAGCGTTGACCTAGGATCCAGGCGATCGGGGTTCGATTCCTGGTCAGGGCACATGCCTGGGTTGTGGGCTCGATCAATGACTCTCTCATCATTGATGTTTCTCTCTCTCTCTCTCTCTCCCTCCCTCCCTCTCCTTTCCTCTCTCTGAAATCAATAAAGGTATATTTAAAAAAAAATCAGAAATTACATACAGCTTAGAAATCTAGAATCCTGGGCCCCCGCCACGGCTCCAGGCTTCCTCGGACTTCCCTGTACGTCTCGGCCGCTCCGCTGCCGGCGGTGAGACCTGCCCTGAGCCCACAGCATCCGCCCTGCCTGGGTCCCCCTGCTGTCTGGCTTATGCCTACGCCTTCCTGGGCCAGGACTTCCCCGCACTAGGCCTGGCCGTTCACTCCTCCATTCAAACATTACTCCCTGAGAGGAAATTGTTAAACCAGAAGTACATTTCTCAAGAGCATGGATCAAAGTTTTATTTTAGATTTAAAGACAGGAAATCAGGAAAAAAAGAGAACTTTGGTTCAAAGAACAATCTAAGGAAGTGGTTTTATAACAAGATAAATGACTGTTTGGGACAGTGCTGTCCCACGGAACATTTTACTAAGGAAACGTTTCACCATCCAATGCAGGGGCCGCTAGCCGCTGCCATGGCTGAGCAAGTGATTTTTTAATTTGAATTAACCTGTAAATGTATTTATTTATTTATTTATTTTAATCCTCACCTGAGGATATTGTTGCCATTGCTTTTCAGAGAGCGTGGAAGAGGGGGAGAGAGAGAGAGAGAAACATCGGTGTGAGAGAGACACATGGATCAGTTGCCTCCCGCTCTCGTGCCAGTGGGGTCGGGGATGGAGCCTGCAACCGAGGTACATGGCCTTGGCCGCAATCGAACCCAGGACCCTTCCGTCTGCGGGCCACGCTCTACCCACTGCTCAAATCCGCTAGAGCTAACCTGTAAATTCAAATAGCCACACATGTCCAGTGATTCCAGTATTGGACAGAGCAGGGCTAGAAGATCATTTTAGTCCATGTACCGCTTAATTGTCTCAGCATGGAGGGAAGAGGTGAAGATCTAGAAAGATGGAGAGCGGAGGACCAGCGGACTGTGCCACATGTCTGCCTTAGAGCCACCAGGGTGGGGGTCCGGAGGATCAGGTGGGCCCAGCTCAGGCTCGCCCCACACCCCAACTGGAAAAAGGCGATGCTGGCTTTGGAGTTTCCCAGTGCCCCCTGGAGGGTGGACCGTAGGCGGGGCAGCTCAGAGGGGGGCTGAGCGTGGCAGGGGTGGATGGGGGGGCCCTGATGAAGGCCTTAGCTGACCCCGGGAGGCCTCCGCAGCCATTGATTTTGGAGCCCCCCTGCCTTGACGCTACACACCCCAGCCTTGATCTTACAAAGACTTTTCCTGGGTGGTGGGTGCATCTGCTTTTTTTTTTTAAACAACCTACTTGCTGCTTTGTTCTAATTACTAAATTGGCACATGCCAGCCTTCTCCGATTCAGAGAAAACCTGAAGGTATAAATAGGAAAGTGAAAACCACCGGAAATCCCATCCCCCGCCCCAGCACCAGGCACCACGTGGGCGTCGCAAGCGAATATTTCTGAAGATACAGCTATCTCTGTTAACATCCTGTTGAATAACTTCTCTGATATTATTTTCCTACGAAAGTTATTAATTTAAAAACACAACAAGGGGTTTTTGAGCCCACACTGCGAGGGAGGTATGACCTCACCGGCTCCTCCCAGCAGCGGAGCAAGTGTGGGACGTGCCCATGATGCAGCCTCACTCCTGCCCACCCCTCCCTCGTATCCTCACACCCCTTTCACAGGCGAGAGCACTGAGGCTCAGAGAAGCAAGGGCTCTGCCCTCATCCTGCCTTTGTTGAGCCTGCCTTTGCAGGGGAGCTGTGGGACCATGGACAAGGCTTGACCACTCGGGGCCTCAGTTTCCTCCCCGTCAAAGACAGATAAAAGAAGTACCCCGCGGCCCACAGTTGGTGGCATGGAGCAGATGTCACGATGGGTGAAAGCCAGGCGGTGCCAGCTGCTCTTGTGATGAATTTGCCTACGGTTCCTGACCGCAGCCAGACAGTGCCCCGCTTCCTCAAAATCCCACCCTTCTTCCGGTCCGAGGGCTCAGTGGTTGACCATCTACCTCGGATCCAGGAGATCGCGGTTCGATGCCCGGTCAGGGCACATGCCGGGGTTTCGGGCTCGATCCCCAGGAGGGGGTGGGCAGATGGCAGCAGATCAATGACTCTCTCACCATTGGTACTTCTCTCTCTCTCTTCATCTCTGGGAAATAAATAAAGATATATTTAAAAGACAAAGCCCCACCCTTTCCCACGTTACCCATTGACTATCTGGCCGGTGGAGAGCAGGCGGCATGGGACTGGCTGGAGGCCGGCTCCTTGGTCCCTGCTGCCCCCTAGTGGCCCACTCTGCTCCAGCGCCGCCTCTGTTCCGGGA